CCAACGCCGATAGAGCCGGCAACGTGTCTTGTTTATACGACAAATGCCTGCGAGAGTAATTCTCAAGTAGCATGATCCACGACGGAAGCCAGAGTGTGCTCGTGCCATCTCTTGTCGATAACGCAAATGCCCCGAGTCGGGTCCAATCTTGGAATCGGGATCCGTCCTCTGACTCCTGGATATTCCCGCAGATAAAATGGAACATCAGGTCGCCAAAAAGGACTTTCCGTGGGGAAAGAAAATGCTCCTGGAAAGTCCATCCACGGGAGCTCCATATAGCACTGTTAATTTCCTCTTCTCCAACCTTATATGTGTCTGGCTCGGGTATTTCGCGCCGGCTTCCAGATTCTACGAGATTATCCTTGGGTGGTTGAGACATACATATATATAACCCCCCTGAAACTGAGCTATTAAGCGTGGAACGGAAGTTTATCCGCAATGTTTTCGGGGCGTCTCGTTTTCCCAAGAATCCACTCGAACAAGAATTACCTCGAAGAACACAGAGGGAGAGAAAGCACCTTGCGAAAACCTTGGACATATCGAATGATTCTCTTGTCCAGTCATCTTCGTCGCCTTGGATGATGCAGAGGGAATCTACCCACATATATCGAATCCCGATCTCTCGGCAGACTCTAACAGCGTCCGCTAGAGTCTTGGGCAATCTCTCGGCTTTGATTCCCTGAAGATGATCGTTAAGGGTATCCTTTGTTGTTTTGAGTTGCCTCTTGACTTTTTTACCCGAACCCCAACAGTAGCTCAGAGCAACGTATCTCCTGGATTCGTAATCCTTAGCCTCTATCAGGGGTTGGTATTGTTCTGTGATAACCAAGCGTAGACATTCAGACGTCTTTGTGCCTACATCGACTAAACGCGTTGGTAAATATGTACCCTCCATGCGAGACGGAAACTCGTAGAGAGACCGGTGAATAAGTTCCTTTAGCCTTTGAAAGCGAGTTGCTGCAAAGCTTCCAAGCGGAATTGGTCGACGCCAGACGTTTAACCACGTTGCGGATGGATCTAATTTCCGTCAGTATCAGCATCTGGTTCGGAATTCTTCCAGTTTACCAGAACTTTGAGCATGGAAATTGTAACTCAACGAGAATTGATTTCCTTTCCCCCCTTCCAACTCGACCGTGAAGTAAACCACAAGCATATCAAGCCAGGGTCTTATATTAAACATTTTCCAGGGCCCCCCTATTCCTACACGTGAGCCGCCACTAAATTTATACGTAATATCTGTAATAGTGAGCTTTGCGTGATAAATCTCGACGAAGAAGTCATTCAACGATCCTCGAATGCTCTTCTTCCATGCAGATTTTATATCTCTCCTCAACATGCCACAGAACGCACAGCCTCGAGATGCTGTTTCAGCCAGTTCAGGTAAACGTGGCAAAGTGTCGCTTCTGTGATACCCCAAATGGAACTCCTTTCTTGCAGAGATTTTTGGTCTACCCATTACTCCTCCACTAGAAGGGTTGCGCTTTGTCTCTTCTATAATTCCAAAGTAAACGTATGGGATACCATCTTTGGATACTCGGATATCTCCGCCTTGTTTGAGATCGTCAAATTCAAGGAGTTTGCAATAGCTGCAAGGGGTGTTAAGAACAGCGTCTTCGAAGACAATCTCATCCGACTCTAAGGCCGTGTCATTATTGTAAGAAGACATCTAGGATGTTAGGATTGCTGGGCATAGGGTGACCTAGCTAAGACAAAGCTGAGAGCTGCTACCGTGAAACCATGACAGTGAACACCTACCTATGTACCTACCTATCTAGTAGGCACCGGAACATTTACTAGACCAAAGGCCAAAGGATTCATTTTATCTTCACAAGAGTAGCGTGCGTAAGCAGCTGAAGTCCGAAAGCACGTGACTAGAGGAAGCCTTCGAGTCACCTGATGTCCTAAGGTGTGTCTATCCAACCGTTGGGGTTGGTGGCGCTGTAAGCACACAGTGCTTCACGGATTAGATCCTGAATAGCACTAGGTAGGTATCTAGGTAGATAATCATATCTTCCACACATATTCCAAGCGAGTATACTATCTACTGTCAGTAAATAGGGATGTTTACACATAGTTGAATGACACAAACTCCTTTTCAGGATATGAGATGACAAGGAGGCACTTTCTACACTTGATGATTTATGTCGAATTATACTGTACAGATGCTGCATGGCGTATCCCGACCAGACTTTTCGGCACTGATGATGCTCCCCCCATACGGGAGGTTGACTGGCGACCCTTGCCGCACTGGGTATAGTACATAATGATCCGAGATGAACGATATACCCTCGAGATCTACCCATGATCAACGCCGAATACCATTATACCATTTCCACCTATCCAGCATTCAGACGAAGCGGTTCCTACCACTCAGTGGCGATGAATTGGGGTTTAGTGTATAGCTCGTGTCCACTTCGTATAGTTGAGTATGGTAGTTGATCGTTGAGGTAAAGCTAGTCAAAATCGTGGTATTGCTATGTATGAAGTCGGAGAGTGGGGTCCATTAATCGTGACGTAGAACATCGACAGGGTCGACCTCATCTCCAAAAGATTAAAGCTCAATCTAGAGTAGAGCTATCATAACATCATTACATCGTCCTCTGTTTCGGGCTCTACGTCCGCCTCCTCGTCCACTCGCAAGAACTCGTGCCTCAATGCCTCCTTTGCGCTGATTCTTTTGTTGGGGTCCAGATCCATACATCTGGTTAAGAATTCGATAGCGCCCTTCTCTTCTTCAGTTAGGGTGTTCGACTTCCCGTCCTTGCCGCCGTCGCTTCGACATGTGCTCCATAACATGATCTTCTCGAAACTAAAGCCTCTCTCGCCAATGGTCGGGATGGTACTTTCGAACATACAACCGTGAAGCTGGCCGGCGTGCTTCATGCGCTTAGAGCCGAAGATGGTGGCGATTTCGATCATGGCCTCGATATCGTCGGCGCTGTTGAAGAAGGGGAAACGTCTACAGAGGATAGTCAAAAGGATAACGCCCGCGGACCAGATATCGATCTTGGTCGTCTGTTCCGTACACTTGAAAAGCACCTCGGGAGCCCGGAATCCACGTGTACCAGCTCTGTTGGCTCGACGAGAGGGCCGAGTATCATTTAGAGGGTACCCTGACTGAGGACCTGCCTGAACCGAGTTAAAAGCCACGGACTGTTGCAATCTCTGTTTCCTGATCTTTGAATCTTCTTGGCATAGACAAGGTTTAGTTTCTACTCCTTCACGCTCGGCCAAACCAAAATCCACTAGGACTCCTCGCTTCTTATCCGGGTCGTAGAGGAAGTTGGTAGGTTTAATGTCGCGATGGATGATACCTCTTTCGTGGACGGCAGCAAGAGCAGTGAAAAGGGATCGAAAATATACTCTCATATCGTATACAGTCATGTGAGGATAGTATTTTCGAAAGTCTTGGTGACGAAAGTATGGGAGGACAGCGAGAACCTGATCGGCGTGGCGGAAAGCTGTGATAAGAGGGCAGACGGAATTAGAGTCGCGTAGGTCATGAAGGAGTTCGAGTTCGTTGAGGATACGGGCGGGTGAAGAGGTGACATAGATCTTCTTGATTGCCACGAATTTAGGCTTATGGCGGATACGGGATGAGTGGGAGTTAGATCGAGATCGAGATCGAGATCGAGAAGCACCTCTTAGAGGCGGGGGTCGCCATTGATTATCCGCAGCGTCCAAATCCCAGCTGTTCTCGTACTGGTGATACTGGATATCTTCGGCTTTGTAAACGGTAGAAAAGGTTCCTTCTCCAATACGCTTTATCAGGCGATACTTGTCCTTAAAGTCGGGAAATGTGGCTTGGAGTTTGTCCATATCGTGTTGGACACTCAGATCAATCTCGTCGGTATCGTCGGAGTCGGTCTCGCTACCATCGTCGTCGACGAGGGGGTTCTCCTGCTCTTCATCTTCAATATTTTCTTCAACATCTTCTCCTAATGGGTTATCGTGATCATCATGATTGTCGTAGTCATCTTCAGTTCTTCGGGGGTGACTTTGTGTGGTCTCCTCGACATCTGACGTTTCGCCCGCGGGTTCGTCGCGATGGATTCGGAATGGTTCTTTAGCGACCCGACGTTGGCTAGTAGCAGCCATGGTTTCGGATTTTGAAAGTCCTTTCTCCTGGCACTCTCTACTCTCGTCCCCAGAGTGCACCCCAATATACTCTATCCTCTTCTTCTATGTTGCTCTATCATCTAGCTAACGAAGGAGAAGTAGTGAGGGGTGGGTAGAGACACCTCGTAATGAAGGTGCAATTAAAGCAATAGTAGCGATATAAGCAACCAAATATTCGTGTTATTAGGAAGCCGATTGGCGAAGAGTTCGTAGTAGGTCAGGTGAATTGCGATCAATTCAAGTGTTGTTGTGAATTGAAGAAGGTATCGCGGTGGTTTTGGTTGATTCCTATACGTAAATTCCGCTTGGTTAGGTAATCGAAGTAAATAAAAACATAGGCCTTGTAGTACCTACAATAGATGCGCCGGGGATTCTTCGGGGGTTGTTCGACGCGTTTTACTCGGCGTAGCTGCTACTGCTAGTTAAGCGCGGGGCAAGGTCTTCGCGGAAGCCACTATCTTGCCCAGGTGCTTGAAGACTACCTAGTAGTAGTATTTGGCAAGAATGTAGTTGCCCTTTAATATTGATTGAATGGCAGCAACTGAAACTTTCCGTCAAGGCGGTATTAAGTTCAAAGTTTATTAGAAGTCCCAAACGCCTAGCGTAACTTCTTGTCTTATTTCACAAAAGCAAAAATGAGCAAACACATAAATAATACTATGTATAAAATTTCACATAGTGCAGATCAATAAAAATGTCTTGACTTCAACTCTTTCCAATTCATACTGTTTAGTAACTAACTGGGAATGGGGGACCGCCTTATAAGACGATTGAATAACCAAAAGTTAGGGGTTGGCGACTGGCCCCTTGGAACAGACAGCGTTGAAAAAAGGAAAAGAGCAAAAAGGTGAAGAACATTGAATGTTCTATGGTGATGTACATGCGGTGTGTGCGGATCGAACGCACGGCCTTCAGATTATAGGATCCTGAAGTGGGACTTCAGTCTGACGCTCTCCCAGCTGAGCTAACCCCGCTGTGAAAATCCGGCAGGAAAATAGCCTTATATCATCTGCAAAGTCTGCGTGAACGTTGAGTTTATGGAAGTCCGCTAATATCCAGACTAAGCAAACACATCTCCATACTGATCTATAGAGTGTGAAATAATGTGTCTATTGGCTATCTACCCAAATAGAATTGGTTGTAAGGCGATTGGTAGGTTGAGAAGATGCCTTGATAAATTAGGCAGTAGAGGAAGTTGAAGAAGGGTCATCTTGACAGATAATAGTGGATGGTATTGGAACAGTCGTTGACTCCAGTTCATTATGCTAGCATGAAGACATAAGAAGTATCTACGGATATAGACCATTTAACGACCATAAGTATCAAACGTTCCTATTTCTAAAACTTATCATGCATACCTAGTAGCTTTTATAAATAGGTGACTACAAAGCAATATCTACAGTTGTACAGATGTATCGTCCAAGATTCCCAATTCCAAGTTGTCAATCATTTAATTAGGTACTTACATAGTGGCTCAAGATTCACGCACTGTACTTGGTACCTGCAAGTTACCACAAGCGATGCTAATGGTGGGTGTCCCACAATCCCCTCACAAAATTCTGATTGGCCAAGAAAGAAAGCTTAGCACAAATTGGGAAGCGTGTAACTAAACAAAAACAAATCGGTTGCTACGGGTCGCATCCCACCGTTTAACATCCCCCCACCGCATCGTCACCAACTTATCAATCTGCACAATCTACACCTCCATGTCGTTATTGTTGATCCCCTCATTCTTTTCGCGACACAGCAAAAAATACGCTTAAGATACCCCTACCCCTATTGCAAGCGCAGTAGATTTTCTTCCATCTTTTTATTGAATGTTCTTGATGACATCCTTCATGCTTCTATCTTCTAACCCTGTGTATTCTTGTCATCGCATTTAATCCGCCCATCTTCGTTCTCCGTTTGCATCTAGCTGCCGCGCTGACCTGGCGCAAACACAACCGCGAAGATGGATCAGGTCAACTTCGATATAAACGAGGCGCTCAAGCACTACATGAGTGATCCCGCAGCTATCGCAACACCGGAAGCAGATAGCGCTTTAGTCGACTGCGAAACCGACCCCGAATCTCTATCCAATGTTTCCCTCCTCAACCCGATATTAAATCCCATCGTAGATGCTGTCGCCGGTAATCCCGATGCTATCATGCGCAGCTCATATTTTGATTCGCTGCAGTTCCTTCTTAAGTGTGCACCCGCTTCCATTAACTCCCCTGATGACCTCCAAACTTCACAGCATCCAGCTTCGAGGACGCAAGAACCAATTTCTAAGCTTTTCCTACAATCCAGGTATACGCAGTTTCTACCCACGCATGCTCTTAGCAAGATATTCGACTTGATTATGAGCGGTCTAGCAGCCGAAGCCGATACTATCAACCATGACCTCGAAAATCCGGAGGAACAGGAAATGATCGCTCATCACAAGTCTCTTCTCGAGATATACGGCTTCCTCCTTCAGTGGACCATCGCTTGTGTCGAAACGAAAGCTGCCGAAAAATCATCGACTGCTCCAGTATCGCGTGCCAGGGGTAAGGGCGCCAAGTCAAAGGCTGCTGCGAGCAAGGACAAAGATGGTAGTTGGGATAGCGTCGCCCAGTTGCAGTCGGCATTGGATGTCATGTCCAAAGTTCTTAAGTTGAAGCTGGGCAAGATATTCTTGACGACGAGCGAACGCGATACCTTCATCGGTCTTCTTACGAGACCTGTCTACATGGTACTAGAGAGTGAACAGAGGGTCAAGAATACAGCCATCAAAATGCATGCCTTTAAGGTCCTCTGCATTGCCGTGAAGCACCATGGTCATGGCTACGGTGAGCGATTGCGCTTAGGGGAATATTCCTGGTGGAAGTACTAATACGATTATAGCGGCGCAAATCTCCATCGTCCAGAATCTAACTTACTTCGAGCATCTTTCCGAACCAATGGCCGAGTTCTTACACATTCTAGCTGAGCAATACGACTATCCACAGTTAGCTGATGAGATTTTAAGGGAGATTAGCAACAAGGAGTTCAACACCAACGACACCAAGGGTCCCAAATCAGTCTCATCCTTCATTATTAAGCTTTCAGAACTTGTCCCCCGTCTAGTGATCAAACAGATGACAATGTTAGCTAAACAGTTGGATAGCGAGGTATGTCGACTCCGATTGTATAGCAAACTGACCTAATATATTCCAGTCGTACACTTTGCGATGCTCCCTAATCGAAGTCTGCGGCAACATGATCGCCCACCTCACCACTCAAGAAGAGCGTAGCGAAAACTACAAGTCCCAACTCAACGCATTCTTCGATGTACTGGAAGAACGTTTCCTTGATATCAACCCTTACTGTAGATGCAGAGCCATGCAAGTCTACACGAGGCTCTGTGACCTAGAACAGAAATTCCCGAAGCGTCGACAGAAAGTAGCTGAGCTAGCGTGCCGAAGCCTCGAAGACAAGAGTAGTCACGTCAGGAGAAACGCAATCAAGCTTCTAGGAACTTTGATCAAGACCCACCCCTTTACCGTGCTGCATGGGGCTCAATTAGGTCGCAAGGATTGGCAAGAAAGACTTGACAAGGTGGATGCCGAGTTAGATGCACTAAAGCCACCAGCGGGAGAGCCAGGTTTGGGAGAAGACAAGGCCAACAGCACAGCACTAGTAGACGAACCGACACAACTAGAATCACCTCAGAAGCCCAAGGAGATGACCGACGAGGAGAAGATAGCGGCTGTTCAAAAAGCCCAAGAAGATGCCGCCACATCGGAAGCTATCGAAAAATTGACTCTAACAAAGCGGTACTACACTGATGCTCTCAAGTTCATCGAGGTTCTTCACGAAGCTACATCTACCGTCTGCCAACTGCTCGGATCCAAGAACAAGTCAGAGGTTATCGAGGCAATGGACTATTTGGAGATTGGCAATGCATACAACATCGAAGATAACATGGTTGGAATTCGACGAATGATGCGTCTCATCTGGACCAAGGGCAACAGTGACGAAGGAAAAGGTGTACAAACGCATCTTATCGACTGTTACAGACGACTATTCTTCGAAGCGCCAGATAGTTTCACTCCTAACGATGCCGCCATCTATATCGCAAGGAACATGATCAGTCTTACTTCTGGTACGACACCAGCGGAACTAACAAGTTTAGAACAACTCCTAGCCACCATGATGAGGGGTGGCATGATTTCTGACCGAGTCATTACGAAGCTTTGGGAGGTATACGGCTTCCACAAGAGAGAGATATCTCGATCTCAGCGACGAGGTGCTATCATCGTGCTTGGCATGCTGGCTACGGCCCAGCCCGAGATCGTTGTCGGCGAGATGGAAACGATGCTACGAACAGGTCTCGGATCTCACGGTAGAGCTGACCTTCAGCTAGCCAAGTTCACGTGCATCGCTTTAAGAAGACTGAACCCTACCGGCCGCCAAGCCAAGGACTCGACGGTCAAATTCAGCCGTCTCCCGAACGAACACGCTGTCCTAGCAAGGCTAGCAGCGATTACCGAAGTACCGAGCGATAGCAAAGAGTGGTTTGGAGTCGCCGAACAGGCAATTAATGCTATATACGTCCTCGCCAAGCACCCTGACATATTGTGCACTGAGATTATCAGACGCAGGACGAAGGTCGTATTCGCCGCGCAGCAAAAGTCCCCTTTCGCATCCCGTCCGGGCTCGCGCGATTTCGATCCAACTGCTACTGTTGCGGTTGACCAAGGAATGACGCAGGGGATTACTATGAACCTTGATGCTCCCACTCAAACCATTAACCAGCTAACGCCGGAACCACCAGCTGAGCCGAAACAGAAGGCCGCCATCGCGCTCTCCCAACTTCTCTTCATTGTCGGCCACGTAGCTATCAAGCAGATCGTTCATCTCGAATTATGCGAACAAGACTTTAAACGCCGGAAACAAGAGAAGGAAAAGGAAGCGGCTGCTAAGCCCGCCGAGCCTAGACCTTCTGTAGGTCGTAAGGGGAAGACGGCTACATCAGCTCCAGCTGCAGAGGACCCGGGCGACGAACTCGATCTGATCGGTGGTACCACGGAAGATGATTTCACAGAGGCCATGGCACATATCCGTGAACAAGAACTTTTGTTTGGGCCACAGTCGCTACTGGGTAACTTTGGGCCCATGGTAGCGGAGATTTGCTCACGCAGTGACATCTACAAAGACAAGAGCCTACAAGCGGCCGCGACGTTATGCCTGGCCAAACTCATGTGTGTCAGCAGCGAGTACTGCGAAGCTCACCTACCGCTACTTATTACTATCATGGAGCGATCACCCGACGCGACAGTGCGATCCAACGTAGTCATCGCTCTTGGTGACATGGCCGTCTGCTTCAACCATCTCATCGACGAGAACACGGACTTCCTATACCGCCGACTCGCAGACCGAGATCTTTCCGTCAAGCGGACGTGTCTTATGACGCTGACGTTCTTGATCTTGGCGGGTCAGGTCAAGGTCAAGGGACAGTTGGGCGAGATGGCCAAGTGTCTCGAGGATGAGGATAAACGTATCGCTGATTTGGCGCGCATGTTCTTCACGGAATTGAGTACCAAGGATAACGCGGTATACAACCACTTCGTTGATATGTTCAGCTTGCTTTCAGCGGATAAGAGGATGGAAGAGGAGCCGTTCAAGAGGATTGTTAGGTTCTTGTTGGGTTTTGTCGAAAAGGTATTGTTTCTCTCATCTTTCTCCTATTAGCCAATACCTTTGGGCTTTGCACTGTGTTCGTATCTTGCTGACAATTAACCATAGGACAAACATGCTAAGCAACTTGCCGAAAAGTTGGCTGCTCGTCTTCCCCGCTGCGAGACGGAACGCCAATGGAACGATGTCGCGTACGCGTTGGGCCTGCTCCAGCACAAGAACGAGGATATTACCAAAGTCGTCAGCGAAGGCTTCAAGGTTATACATGCTGCCGCTTAAACTGACGATGGAACGATGTTGACTCGTATGATGCATTTGTCTATAGTAATGAACG